CTTAGCCGCTTGAGCCACAGGCGCCGAGCCCTGGGGCTGGGTTTGAACCCACCACCTCCGGCATATGGGGCCGGTGCCTTACTCCTTTGAGCCACAGGCACCACCCAACCCAGCTGGCTCATTTAAGAAAGTAGATAACTAACTGGGCATGGTGGTGGGTGCCTATAGTCCCAGCTACTAAGGAAGCTGAGGCAAACAGGATTGCTTGAGCCCAAGAGTTTAAAGTTGCTGTGAGCTAGGGTGACAGAATGAGAACTTGTCTCAAAAAATAAAAGAAGAGAAAGCAAAAGAAAGCAGATGTTAGGGCGGCACTTGTGGCTCAGTGAGTAGGGCGCCGGCTCCATATACCAAGGGTGGCAGGTTCAAATCTGGCCCCAGCCAAACTGCAACAACAAAATAGCTGGTTGTTGTGGCAGGCTTTTATACTCCAGCTACTCTGGAGGCTGAGGCAAGAGAATCACCTAAGCCCAGGAGTTGGAGGTTGCTGTGACACCACACCACTTTACCAAGGGCAACAAAGTAAGACTTTGTCCTTAAAAAAAAACAAGAAAGCAGAGGCTAAATGGTTTGTTCAGAGTTGTTCCACTAGTTAGCAATGAAGCTGGGACTAAAACTCAATTCCAAAAATTAAAGGTATATGTTATTTGTGAGAGACACAGATTAGAAAAGACCTTGCACAGGGGTGGTGGTGCCTGTGGCTCAAGGAGTAGGGCGCTGGCCCCATATACCAGAGGTGGTGGGTTCAAACCTGGCCCTGCCAAAAACCGCAAAAATAAAAGAAAAGAAAAGATCTCACACAAGTAGAATAAGGTCTGGAGTTTACTAAGTAGAAGATTTGGTGCTTTCAATTTCTGTTCTTTTTCCTCTTCCTACCTTATTTATAGGGTTTGCAGGGATCTGAAAGCACAGAGGAACAGGCCTCATTGCAGACATGGAGCCCAGGAGACTGAGAAGCTTTTAGAGGTGCAGAGGCAGGCAGATGGTATAACACTTGGAGGGAAGGCAGAAAGGAAACATGTAGAACTGAGCTCAACTCTATTTTATTATTATTATTTTTTTGAGACGGAGTCTCACTTTGCTGCCCTTGGTAGAGTGTCATGGCATCATAGCTCACAGCAACCTCAAACCCTTGAGCTCAAGCAATTCTCTTGCCTCAGCCTCCCAAGCAGCTGGGACTACAGGCGCTCACCACAATGCTTAGATATTTTTAAAGATGGGGGTCTTGGGCGGCGCCTGTGGCTCAGTTAGTAAGGCGCTGGCCCCATGTACCAAGGGTGGCGGGTTCTAACCCAGCCCTTGCCCTGGCCAAACTGCAACAAAAAAATAGCCAGGTGTTGTGGTGGGTGCCTGTAGTCCCAGCTACTTGGGAAGCTGAGGTAGGAGAATCACCTAAGCCTAGGAGCTGGAGGTTGCTGTGAGCTGTGAGGACTCAGCACTCTACCGAGGGTGACAAAGTAAGACTCTGTCTCTAAAAAAAGTCTCACTCTTGCTCAGGCTGGTCTCAAGCTCAGGCAATCCACCTGCCTCAGCCTCTCAAAGTGCTAGAATTATAGGCATGGCCACCTTGCCTGGCCTGAGCTCAACTCCAGATGTCCTTAAGCTGGTAAGGAGTTCCAGATGCCCCTTGACCTATGGTCCTTGTCCCCATAGGACAAGAATATGAAGATGGAGAGAGCCTGGAAGAGGATTATTACTATTATCAGGTTGTCTATTACTACACAGTCACCCCCACTTATGGTGAGTACATGAAAGGTTCTGATCTTTTGCTGGGTGGAGAGAAGGCTTGGGGATATTTAGTTCTGAGACTTTGCCCTTCACTATGCAATAGAGCAACTGGGTTAGAGAGAAATTTGGCTATGAATAAAAACTATCAAGACTCATGATGTTATTTCTCAAGCTAGTGATTTTTAATTCTTTGGAAAATGGTTGAGACAACTAAAAAAATTTCAAATTTGTAAATTATTTTTGGATTCTACATTGAAAATACAAATACATACACATTCACAAACATTTTAAACATTAAAGTTAATTAAAATTGGATTGTACCAATAAATTTTTTAACTTGAGCAAATTATTCAGAGTCACTTTTTTCCTTTGTTACTACTGATTTTTTTTTCTCTTCCACAGATGACTTTGGTGCAAATTTCACCATTGATTACTCCATGTTTGAGTCAGAGGACAGGCTGGTGAGTGACTGCTACATTTGTGAGGGTCAGGATAAGTAATAATTAAAAAGAAACTGAGGGGCCAGGCTCATGTCTATAATCCTAGTACTTTGGGAAACCAAGGCAAGAAGATCAGGATCGCTTGAGGTCAGAAGTTTGAGACCAGCCTGAGCAAGAGTCAGACCCTGTTTTTATTTTATTTTAAAGGTTTTTGCAGTTTTTGGCCAGGGCCAGGTTTTAACCCCACACCTCCGGTATATGGGACTGGTGCCCTACTCCTTGAGCCACAGGTGCCACCCAGACCGTGTTTTTACAAAAAATAAAAAAGTTAGCTGTGTGTGGTGGCTACTAGTAGCTAGTAGTCCTAGCTACTCGGGAGGCTGAGGCAAGAGGATTGCTAGAGCCAAGGATTTGAGGTTGCTATGAGCTGTGATGGTGACACTGCACTCTAGCTAAGGCAACAGAGTGAAACTCTCTCTCAAAAGGAAAAACAAAACTGGGTAGTACCTGTGGCTCAAAGGAGTAGGGCGCCGGCCCCATATACCAGAGGTGGTGGGTTCAAACTGAGCCCCGGCAAAAAACAACAACAACAAAAAAAAAAAAAAAAAAAA